TTTTTGAGATTGACAATCTCTGCGCCGGTGACTTTCTTGGGTGACTCTGTTTGTAAGGAGCATACATTTGTCGATTGTCCGCTCTAACCACTAGCGGGCAATCGACAGGGTTTCAGACATGTTGAGGTCTAACAAGATTGCTCGTAAAGAGTAACTGCTAGCATACAAGTTTTCATGTACTGGTAACTTGGGGGGTGTGCTGATATAGGAACATATTATGCTTCTTATCTTATCCCTTTCAGCCTGAAGGCTGCGAGCCGTTTCATGAAACGAATAATGGGCGAGCGAGGCTCGTGCATACGTGCGCGAACACCACTATGGACGCACTCACGTACTCACGCGGCAGTCTCACGTGAATTCAGAAAATCCTCGCTTCCACGTGAAGCAAGGACTTCGCAGTCCCGAGATAATTTTTCTCTCTCTTAGTTGTATGTCCTTCCACTTGTGTTGGTGAAGCGACTCTCATCATCTTTTTAACAGAGTCAATATGCTCGTCATGGTCCTGATCCTGCGATAGAGGAGGATGCCTCTAGCACACACCTAAAGGACTACAGGTATCATCCCAGTATTGGCAATCACTAACAACGGCAGAACTGCCTGAGATGAATCACCAGCGTCTCATAATTTCCTTGTTGTTCAATAGCCTCAGATTCCATTCAAGGGCTATCTGATATCTGACAGTCCAGCGTTATCTCGACAGTAGTGTTGAATATGATAAATAGATCAGTACATGACGAGAAGATGAACTCATGAGTAACTAATACTTCTATATTTCATCTGTGGTTTGTTGTACTGGTTCTATTCATAAATCATCGGGCCCGTTATCATTTGTATCTCATCAATATGATTATCGCTCTGATTGCCGCCTTCGCCTACACAGTAGCAATCACTGATGCCAGCGGCCTTGGGAACGAAAGTACCATGCTCGAACTCGGGCCGTGACCGTCCATCGATTATCTTCAGGTGAGACGCCCGCGTTTCTCCATCTTCGTTCTCTGAATGGCGGCGGGGTCTTGTGTCCGTACAGCAAGGGTAAACTGGAAGCCGGATACATAACCATTGGCGTGTTTAGGAAGAAAAAGTATATTCAGCGTGCGGAGTGAAAATCAAGGTCATGCTGCCTTTAGGTACTTCTATGCGGTCATGGAAGCCGAAGACGTAGATCCATCATTGGCGCCGACCTTCTGGTATATGGCCGGTGAACCGGGCAGTAGCAGCTTGGGAGAGGCCATGATGT